CTTTAGTATTGCAGAGGAGCAGGCAATTGGGCGAAAAGATTTAGGACCAAAGTTAGCTGGCTTTTTAGGGATGGGAGTGATTCTCACTGTACGCCGGGCGTCGGGAATCTTGGACTCCATGAAAGACATGTTGATTAAGTGCGTTAAAATAGGGCTATCTGAGAACTGCAAGATTTAAGAAGAAAAGGCGAGACACCATCCGGTCCGGCAGCTGTTGATCCACGGACCTTTTTAAGGTGTTTCTCTACGGTAGCCAAAGACACGGGTTGGAATGTACTCGGTGATAGGGGAATGTCTTCTAAGGGAAGATGGGAGTCATTGTATTAAATATAAAATTTTTATTTAGGGAGTCTAAATCTGCATCCACATGCACCAGCGTGTTGCGATGGCCAGTGAGACGCTTAAGATTTTTCCAAATCTCAGCTGAGGAAGGGTGGAAAGGGGGGGGGGTAAGAAAAGGAAAAAAGTTGGCTGACAAACAGGCTATTTAGCCTGTCAATCTCTGTTTTTATTAAGACGGTAACGTCCTTAAGGTTATCACGTAAGCCCAGCTTGTAAAGGAGTTCTTTTTTACGTCTTAACGATTTCAGATAGGGGGAAGAAATTCTATCCGGTCGTACCATAACAGTATCAAAAGGGCAGCAAATATCAAAAATTTCATTTAAAAACGCTGTCAGGTTGGAAGAACAGGATTCAACAATAGAATGTTCAAGGAAAGTGGCGATAGTAAGAGGAATGCAAGCCTGAAGCATGAGAATGTTTTGGGCGGACGTGTTGCGAACCTTAACCTTCCTCTCAGGCTTGGAAAGCAGTGCACGTTTTGAAGTGGAATAGATTTTTGGATAGCAGTGTTCATGCCGGCCCAACGGACTGGTTCCTGATGAGGTGCTGAATAGACCGAATGCAAGGGTAGGCGATATTGTGCAACACGCTGAAAATTTCTTGTCGCATCTCGCATGGTACTGTAGGGCGAGAGGAACCGCGAGGCACATCGCACAAGACTGTACTGGAGTTGGCGAAGAGAGGAATGGCTTTAAGCTGAAGGCTAATAGGCTGTAGGTGTCCAGATAAATTCGGCTGCTGTTACAGCTCGGCCATGCGCTCCAGATCGATGAAAGCGGAGGTGATAGCATTAATTCCAGGTTGGAATAGACAGCGACCTGTTTAGAGGGTCCTTTAAAAAATCGATGGTATATTGGGAGATTAAATGAAAATGGCGGGTTTCACGGGACGAATACTTGCCAGAGGAGGTGAAGAAGGCATATGTAAGACGTTCATGGTCAGTGTAAACACAAAAATCTCCACCTTCAGCAAAGTTACGAAAATCCGTAATGGCGAGATAAATGGCAAGGAGTTTTCTACCAAACGTGCTATAAGGGGTTTTGGGGGTGTCAATTTAGCAGAGTGGAAGGATAGTGGTTAAATGCCCCTTGGGGTCTACTGTTGGGGGCTGCACCGATGGCGCAATTGGAGGCGTCAGCTATAATGGACAGCGGAGCATCAGTTAAAGGACCAGAAAGGGCAGTTGTATCCGCAAGAGTCTCCTTTACACGTTAAAAAGCGTCCACGGCGGTTTCAGGAAAAGAAAATTGGCGGTTGTTAACCCGAAGAAGATTTGTGAGGGGTAACATAAGCTGAGCACAATTAGGGATGAATCGTCGGCAAACAATTGACGAAACCTATGAAACGGCGCAGTTGTCGGAAAGACGTGGGAGCAGGGCACCCGCGAATAGCTGGAACTCTAGCGTATATGGGATGACAAACGAAGACATCTACGCGATGTTGCAGGAACAAGAGCGATGGAACGCTAAAAACGCGTTTGGAGGCGTTACTAGAAACGCCGAATCGGCTCGACCGCTCAAAAATTAGACGTAGGTGATGTAGATGTTGCTGTTCACCGGAACTTGCGACTAGGAGATAATCTACATAAACAAAAACGAAAGGTTAGCCGCGGCGGACCTCGGTAATTAAACGTTGAAAAGTTTGAAAGGAGGTACGGAATCCAAAAGGCATCCTGACGAACTCGAAAAGACCGAATGCAGTTGTAATCGCCGTTTTCGGGATGTCTTCTGGAGCAACGGGGATTTGGTGAAAGGCTGTTACTAGGACAATGCAGGAACATATTGTTGCCCTGGTTAGGCTCGAGGAAAAGTCATGAAGAAGGGGAAGAGGATATCCGTCAGGGACAGTGCAGTTGTATTACTTGTCGGTAATCACCACATGGACGCCAGTCCGTGAGAGACTTTTTGTAAACCAAGTTTAGGGGGGTGACCCATGGACTAGTGAAGGGTCGAACTATGCTAAGTTCCATCATATGACTGAATTCAGCTCTGGCGATAGCTAAACTACCAGCCGTTAAACATCGAGGATGGTTAAACTGGGGTGGCCCCGTAGTCGACATATAATGCATGACAAAATGTGTAATAGGCTGGTCAAACCGCAAAGGTCAGGCGGTAGATGAAAATTTCGAAAGAAAACGATGATAGGGAGTGGATAAAGTGATTGTTGAAATGTCCGGAATAGGGGATAAAATGGTACCAGTTAAGGAATTACGACTTGAGCCCCTCTAAGCCCGACTGCGCACGACCGGATCATTCTGCGCTCCCACCGGGATTATTTCGACTTGGTTACCACGTCACAGTTACCGCCTCTGACATTGATACTGTAACCGTACGTACATAATTGTTTTGCGCATTTTTGGAATACTTTTTCACGCGTCGAAATTCGCCAGGTAACTAAATTAAGTGCAATTTGTTTATCAGCACGGTTCAACTAACTACGCAGCCAACTCGCGGTTATTCACAGCCTAAAAAACAATCGCTCAAAATCCTTCTAGGTCTGCGGTTATTCAAGTCTGACGAGATCTGCGAAGGGCTAGGTCGTTTCTGATCACATTCCATAAAATCTATCAGATTTTAAGTATTTGTTCGTTTACTGAGTTTTGAATACTGATTTCAATTCGTCATATACAATTGGACGTTTTCGTTGTAACATCAAAAGCGTAATTACACCTTTTATATCATGTCGAAGTTTATGGAGTTTCCGCAGTCTAACTGTAATAGTACGGCCAGCGACGATGCCCCATTGGAAGATAAGTTTGGTAAGATGTCCTTCGCATCCAGAACCTGTTCTCGCTCTACCTGCGCTTCCAGCCAACGACCAGCAAATCGTGCCAAAAGCGTAATTACCACAAAAATTGTGAGGTACGAAGACGAATATTGTAGTGGATGCGCACCCACCCCATTAAAGTAGGACAACTCGAAAAGGAGCTTGCTGATTCAAGGACGCTCATGAAACATAACCTCGATGACCAGAACGTCTCCAGTTTTAGAGTCCAAAAAAGGAAGTGCAGAACACGAAAAAATATCTCCTCGGTGGTATACCCAAACACGGTTTGCAACTCAGCTGCAGCTGTCGGTAAGAGCAGGACAACGAAGACGAAGCCGCGATAAGGGCAGACTCGATTCCTACGCAAAATAACTTAAGCGATGTTACAAAAATTACCTGGCGCGGAAGCCATTTCGTCTAAGCCTCTTGCTGTAAGTGACGGGATTTCTCTTTTGCCTATGGACGACATAACTAGGCCATCCAGTCTACTGTTGCTCTCTTGTTCTCCCAACCACCCCGAGCGCCCTACAGAGCACGCATTTGAATGCGAAGACATGAACCCGTGGGTAGGGGAGGGGGAGCGGGAAACGCCATAACAGGAGTTTGAAGTCACAACCAGCCCTGATGGGTTGCTCCGTACAGTTGGTCAACAGCAAAAGCATTTTCCAAGCGACGACTCGGTAAATCGTCCTCGCCCACATGCAGAGAATTCACGGGAAAGCCAAAGAAAGCAGGACCGTGATTGCCAACAGTGCCCGTTTATTCAGGACTTGTCGGAATCGAATGCAGTCAGATTTGAAGACCGTGTCTCGGACGACCTTGCTTCATTTCATGGTCTGATTAATCCAGGCAGACATGGAAATAAATGTCCTGAAAGCATTCCGGGTAGGAAAAAGGAGTGAAGACAGGACAGCAACACTATCAGCTCGCCCTCAGAAACTTATGTTGGAGAGCAAAGAGCAAATCAAGTTGATCCTCTTCAAAAAAACCGACCTCAGAAACGCACACACACACGACAGTTCGACCGTCGATTTCGACGATGTCCACCGTGTGCCCCACAACTGCAGCAGCGGCGGGAGCAGGGACGGTGACTTGCGCAGGGGTTTATAGCGCCAACACAACAGAGTTTGGAGGCTGGCACAACCGAAGCCGCACCTAGGCGTGCCACCAACGCCTAGCTCGGATCCCACGCTGTGGTGGGAGTGCCATAAATGCCACATTAAGAAGGAGTCATTGCCTGACTCTCAGACCGCCCCCAGTTAATGAGGAGGTCCAAGTTTCCCCTTCCAAGCCACGGCTTTTAGCGCACCGTGATAGCTTCAAGAGCGTCAGATTGTTTATAGTGAGGAAAGTGCGCTGAGTCGTCGACCTCACTCTCCCTTCCCACTCCCACACCCCAGCCGCTGTCCGAGCCGGTCAGCAGACTGGAGTGGGAAATGGGCGCGGTGGCTGGCACGGTCGACTGACCATGACTGCGCGCGCCACGTGCACGACCTGGCCCCCCATACACACAAACACCAGGATTTCACACAACGGGGGTTGAACGGCGTGTCTCTCACTTGCGTGAGAGGGCCGTGGAAGGTGCTGCTTCAGCCCGCCCCCAGCCCACCAGTCCGCCACTCCACACAACACACACAACGCGACGAACTGCGTGAACCGAGTGCGGGCATCAATCAGCAACCTTCCCATCCCCGACAATTGACGTGTCGGGATAATCTCGGACTCAGGTCACCCCTGCAACCGAAGCCGCATGGGGACCGAGTCGAGATGCACACTTCCCACTTGCGTGGAAGGTGGCAGTTGGGTGCATGCGGTGGGTGAGTGTTGATGTATGGTGGTGATGGTGGAGGAAGGCAGGGAGTGTGTGGATTTGTGGTGTAACCGGCGGTTGTCTACCGCAGGTCGTCGTGGATGCGTATGTGACGGAATAGGCCTATACGATGCCTGAAAGTGCGAGGACAGTGTGGGCAGTTGAGTCGAGCTTGGTGGGTATAGGTTGGTGCCCCAGGCACTGGTTCTCCAGGCTCTGTGCGATGGATGCGCAAGTGACCGACCAGGCCGATGCCTGATGTGAACGTGCGTGGACAGTGTGGGCATGAGAGGTCGACAGTGTCGGTGTCAGCTGCAAAGGAGGCGGCGGAGGTGGTGGTGGGCGCGCAGGGCGATGGAGCGAGGGTGGTGCTGGGCATGGTGGGTGTGTTGGATGTGGTTGGTGGGTAGGAATTGTGGTCAATTCCGCTCTCGTGGATGCGCATGTGGCCGAATAGACCCATGCGATGCGTGAATGTGCGTGAGCAGTGTGGGCAGTGGAGGCGGGTACGGTGGGTGTAGGTTGGGGCTCCAGGCAGTGGTTCGCCAGTTCCTGTGCGATGGATTCGTAAGTGACCGACCAGGCCGATGCGTGAGGTGAAGGTGCGGTCGCAGTGAGGGCAGGTGTAGTCCTGATCCTCATCGCTGGAGTCGAAGGTATTGGGTGTGGTGTCGGTTGTTGCGTGAGTGACAGTCGCCTGAGCGGCCGTCGCAAGGGCAGTGGTGGTGGTGGTGGTGGTGGTGGTGGCGGTGGTGGTGGTGGTGGTGGTGGTGGTGGTAGTGGTGGTGAAGGAGGAGGAGGAGGTTAGCGGTGGCGGAGCAGTAGAGTAGTCAGAGGTAGTAGACGGCGGAGAGGACGAGGGAGGGGGGGGGCGGGGGGACGATGGTTGGTGCAGTTCCAGAGGCGCAGTTGGTCCGTAGATGTCCAAAAAGTCCGATTCGAGCCCGGAATGTTCGTTAACACCGAGGACACGTTGGAAGCGGTTGTGCGGCGGCGTTGCGTACTAGGCGAAATTGTGATTTTCGGGCTTCGCGTTTCGCTTTGGCGGCAGCGATGCGGCTGGCTTCGTAGATCGCAGAGCCTGTCTTCACTGTTCTCCTCCAGGTCGGTCGGTCGAGTGCGAGCTCTTCCCACTTGGTCGGGTTGATTTGCAGACGCTTCAGGGAGGACTTCAGAGTATCCTTGTAACGGCGAATTTGGCCTCCTTGATGGCGAGAACCCGTCGCGACGTCTCCGTAGAAGAGTCGTTTGGGTAGTCGCTCGTCGTCCATGCGCATCAGGAGGCCGCTCCAACGTAGCTTCATTTGTCTCAGCATGGTGTAGATGCTGAGAATTCCCGTCCGTTCGAGCGCATAAGTGTCGGGAATTCGATCCTGCCAGTTCAGCCTCAGGATGCGACGAAGAAAACTGAGGTGGAAGTGGTTCAGTCGGCGTGCCTGCAGCGTCGGCAGAATGACGGCCTTGTACATCTTTAGCTTCGTGCTCAGTTGTAGACCATGACGATTCCAAACTGTGCTTTGGAGGCGACCGAATGCTTGACTGGCTTTCGAGATCCTGTTGGCGACTTCGTCATCGATCTTGGTGTTGCGGGGAGGGTACTGTCCAGGTACGGGAAGTTCTCCACCACTTGCAGTTGGGTCCCGTTCACGCTGATTTGCGGCGAGTTGGGGGCTGTGTCTGAGTTGGGTGACGGTTGGTGCATCACCACCGTCTTCTGCGTGTTGATGACCAGACCGAATTTCTCGCAGGCGGCGGAAAACAGGCCCATGCTCCGTTGCATCTCCTCTTCCGAGGTGGTTTTCAGGGCGCAGTCGTCGGCGAAGAGAAGTTCGTGAACGGTGGTTGTGGATACACGCGATTGGAAGTGCATTCGTCGTTGATTCAGCAGGTGACCGTCCGTTTAGTAGGCGATGCGGATCGCGGGGCGTTCATCACGGTAGGCGTCCATCAGCATGGCAGAGAACATAAAACTGAAGAGAATAGGCGCCATCACGCATCCCTGCTTCACTCCGTTGGTCACTGCGAATGCCTCTGAGACAGCTCCGTTATCCGTAACTCGCGCCATCATACTGTCGTGCAGCTGACGCCCCATCTGAGTGAATCGTTCCGGACAGCCGAATTTCTGCATGATCTTCCACAGTCCTTCACGATTCACCGTGTCGAAGGCTTTCGTCAGGTCCACGAAGGTAGAGTACAGGTGGGTCCGCATCTCCTGACACTTCTCCTGAAGTTGACGGGCGGCGAAGATCATATCCGTGGTCGTACGATGACGACGGAAGCCGCACTGGCTTTCCGGCAGGAGGCCCTGTTCCAGATGATTATTGAGGCGGTTGAGAAGGATGCGAGCGAAGATCTTCCCGGCTATGTTCAGCAAGGAGATTCCGCGGTGATTGTCGCAGACTTGGCGATTCCCTTTTCGCTTGTATAGGAGCACGATTGTTGCGTCTTTGAAGTCTTGCGGCACTTCACCTTGACGCCACATCTCCTGGAAGAGCGCAGTCAGGTGATCCATGAGTTGGGGACCTCCGTGCTTGTAGACCTCGGCAGGGATTGCGTCCGATCCGGGTGCTTTCCCGCTGGAGAGCTGCTGCACGGCCCTGATGGTTTCCTGGAGGGATGGCGGGAGGTCGAGACCCACGTTGGTCTCCACTTGCGGCAGGCGGTCGATGACGGCGTCGGAGATGACGGAGGGGCGGTTGAGGACGCCTCGGAAATGCTCAGCCCATCGCTGTAGGATTTGCGTCTTCTCAGTCAGGAGAGTGCTACCGTTGGCGCTGAGGAGAGGAGCAGTGCCCTTCGTCGGCGGACCGTAGACAGCTTTGATTGCAGAGAAGAAGTTCTTCCATTCGTTGCGGTCCGCGTAGCCTTGGATCTCCTCAGCTTTGTGAGCAGTCCAGGCGTCCTGCATCTCGCGCAGTCGTTGTTGAAGCTGGCGGCGACTGCGGTAGAAGGCAGCTTTGTTGTCCTCAGTGGGGTGATCCACGTAGGCTTTGTGTAGGCGGTTCTTCTCAGCTAGCAGATTTCTGATGGCGGCGTCGTTATCGTCAAACCAGTCCTGGTGTTGGCGGGGAGCGCGACCGAGGACGGCGAGCGCCGTCGACTGGACCGTGTCTCGCAGTTGACACCAGCGGTTCTCCACGGAGGCGTTCTCGCCAGCGGCGGCGTCGGCAGCGATAGGAAGGTTGGCTAGCCTTTGAGCTAGCTCATTGCTGAAATGAAGATGGTGAGCGGGCAAAGACAACAAGGCAACATTCAGCTTACCTGGGGGTCGCTTACCTTGTGGTCTCCTGCGAGGCTGTAGGCGAATACGCATCTTCGAGATAACGAGGCGATGGTCGGTCCACCCGTCAGCACCCGCGATCGCCTTCGTCACCAGCACGTCCCGCTGTTCTCGCCTCCGGACGAGGACATAGTCCAGCAGGTGCCACTGACGCGACCGAGGATGCCTCCAGGTGGCCTTCTCTCGCTCCGGCAGACAGAAGAACGTGTTCGTCAGGATGAGACGGTGTTCTGCGCAGGTGCGGAGAAGCAGCAGTCCATTGTCGTTTGAGGCGCGGAGACCATAGGGACCCAGCACTCCTCTCCAGGCAGTATGGTCTGTGCCGACGCGGGCGTTGAAGTCACCAAGGACAATCAACTTGTCCGCCTTCGACACAGTCGCCAAGAGGGCGTTCAGGTCCTCGTAGAATTTATCTCTTTGCGGCGGCGGCGTCGGGGCTGCTCATCGGTGGAGCGTAGGCGCTGATGATGGTGGCGAATTTGCCCCCAACCCGGAGAGGCAGACGGAGGCTCATCAGGCGATCGTTGATGCCCTGCGGCAGACTGGGCAGTCGTCCCACGACGTCGTTCCGGATGGCGAAGGCGACACCCGCGTCTCGTCGCTCTGCCCTGGGCTGACCACTCCAGAAGAAGGTGTAGCCGGCACCTACCTCCTCCAGTTGGCCTTGTTAGGAGAATCGGGTATCGCTGAGTGCGGCGATGTCCACCTTGTAGCGCGCCAGATCCAGAGTCACTAGCACCGTCCTCCGTTCCGGTCGGTTGCTCCTCGGATTGTCTAAAAGAGAACGAACATTCCAGGCTGCCAGAGTGAGCGGGCTCACCCTGCCAGTCTAGCAACGAGTGGGGCGACGGGAAAAAGGTGGAGAATAAGACGGCGAAGGAGAAAAATAGGCAGAGGAAGAGGACGAAGAGGTAGGATGAGGAGAATGAGTGTGGTTGTTGTTGTTGTTGTTTCGATTTTGATTGTTTCGACCATTTTTAGACGTCTGCGGCCCTGGCTAGCCTGTAGACGGCGTGGTGCCCAGCAATGCTTAGGCCACCTTTTATAGGCCCTTCCTCTCGTGGGGGCTGGCAGTGCCACCCCTGAATAGGGCTGCCATGTGCCGTTGCGGCACGGCCAAACTCCACTATGGGGCCACGACTTCTTGTTGTGGTGGAGAGCGACTCGAATTCGCCGTAAGCCGCGGTCTCCGACGGCGTAGGTGGGCGCGTCAAGGCGATGTCGATGTGGAGATCCATCCCGTCACCGGCTGTCCAGCGGCGTGCAGAGACGAACCACGTCACGACGGTGCCGACGCAAGGCTCCATCCGACCTTCCATCCAGCGGAATCCGCAAACCCTGTGCACACGGCACAGCGCACCGGGCCCCCTCACCTGCTTTAGCCCGCCGGTCGAGGTGGTTGCCCAGGGTGTGGCCGCTGAGAAGAGCCCAGCTACGTGGAGCCACAGGCGAGAGTTGAGTGCCAGCAAGTGGACGCTAGGCGTAGTCTCACCTGCAAGCAAGTGAACGACCACTACGACCATCACGTTGACCCACAGCCGACACCCCTACACCCCACCCCTACACCCCACGCACACACACACACACACAAAGAGGTTGCTTTCAACCAGAAAACTCACCAGCGGAACGGCTGAAACGCCGGAACTCGTCTTGGAGTTAAAATCGAGACTTAAAGCGGACGAAGACAGTCTGGCTATCTTCAAGGGGATGGTAGTTCGAAAAAATATGCCGTTTCAGTGGTATCAGCCAGTAATAATAAGAACGACGGAAACTACTCAGCTAACACAGGCACCCTCGTTGAACCAGCCGCTCGGGGCGACAACACAAGAAGCAACTGGCATCAATGGAACCCATCAGGCAACGAAAGAGCCCAAAGAAAATGGCGTCCGAGATAACGGAGTAATGCTCAAAACAGTGACAAATGCAACCGGAAATTCAGCTGGTGCAAAAGTGAGGTGCTTGTAAACAAATTCCCAAAGTCTCATATCAAAACTAGACGAGCTAAAACTTTGCCTTACCAAGCAGTATCAGAATGTTTTAGCAGTCACCGAGACCGGGCTGTCGGCGAATATTAGCGATAGCGAAATAGCGTTGCCAGGATACCAAATTAATCGGGGTGACAGGGAACCTCACCAAGGTGGTGGTATAGTTGTTTATGTAAATGAGGGCCTGGCAGTGTCGGAACACACCACCAAGTTTGCGTGCGACACGTAACCTATTTGATTGACCATCAAGGCTACCGGTTCCCAGTGTCTCAATGTCCTCACTGTCCACCGACCACCTAGGACAGACCAAACTGCCAACACTCAGCTATTGGAGAAATTTTCCAGTCGACCTAACATCATGATCACGGGCGACTTCAAGGCACCAGGAGCAAACTGGGACACACTCCAATCGTCAGGTCCAAAATGGGCATTCGATTACCGTCTGCGGAACAAAACACTAAAGGCGTCCCTCACACAACGTGTAATGTTGCCAACTAGAACACGTGAAGGACAAGGGACAAAATGCCTTGATCTGGTTTTTACGAAACCACAAGACAGCATAGACGAGATCACCTCCATGCCGCCCCTTGGCCGAAGTGACCATGTAGTGCTTATGTGGGATTATTCGTTATTCTCCATTTTGCATACTTCAGACCAAAAGAGACGGAATGTTTGGCGGGCCGTCCTGATTGAAATGAGGGCAGTCTTATCCGGTCTCGACTGGGGCTCATTTTTAACGGGTAATGTCAACGATGACTGGGAGTTTTTCAAGAATGTCCTTCTGCAGTTCATCAACAACCACTGCCCACTGACTAGTGTAAGACTGGACAAACGCCCTTAAGAAAGAAATCAACAGGAAACACTAGGTAAGTTGAATATTTCAACACCTACAAGACACAGAAGAACAAACTGAGTAAAATGATTGTAAAAGCGCGACTAGAATTCGAGAAGAAATTGCTACAAAAAGCAATCCAGAACCCAAAATTACTCCGACGAAGAACAAGGAACAGACACCAAACCCCTTTTGTCAGGACTAATGATGGCGTGGAGATCGCTAATTGTATGGATAAAGCTGCGTATTTTTCAGTTTTTCCAATCAATCTACACAAACGAGGCGAGGTTCCTTCCTCAATCCACAGGACAACTGCCGACTCCGAGCATCACGGATATACTCTTCTCAGAAGGCATTGCCCGAGGAAAATTAGAGGCATTGAACGAATTGAGGTCGCCAGGACCAGACGAGATTCCACCGAAGTTTCTCAAGGAACTTGCCAGTGGGCTTTCTGTGCCTTTGTCGATGCTCTTTCAAACGTACTTTGACACCGGAACACTTTCTATCGATTGGAAGCTGGCGTATATTACTCTGCCATACAAAGGAGGTTTCAGGACATCGACAACAAGCTGCAGGCCCATAAACTTGACATGTACCCTCTGCAAAGTTATGGAAAGGACCATAAAGAGTGCATCGATGCATTTCCTGGAATTTCACGGCCTGCTATCGAAATGCTATATGGGTTCCGGAAAGGAAGATCCTGCACGACAAACTTGCTGCAATCTCTCCAGAGCTGGGCCGGAGCTCTCGATGACAGACACGCGGTCTACATA